AGACACCCAAAGCCCTGGCCGTGTTCCTGGCTGATCTCTGGGTGATCCTGCTCTGGGGGTGACCTCCAGGGGTCCCTTCCATCTCCTCACATTCTCTGTGATTCTGTGGAAGGCCAGCAAGAGGCTCTGAGCTGTGCCTTCCTTTGGGGAAAACTGGGACAATTTAAGGCCATAGATGGTAAATGCAGTTTCCATGTCACACTACAGTCAGCCTTGGGGCTGTGGGGCAGGGTGTGGATCTGCAAGAGGAGAGGCCAATTATTTTGCTATCATTATTTAATAATTATCTCGTGTTAACGCCCTGGAGGCAGACTGAGGTCAGGTCCCTGTTGGGGAAGGTGGTGTTTTCCCACATCACTCTGATCCCCAAACACCAAAACCAGCTGGTTTTGTGCCCAGTCACCTGCTGCCAACAACTTGGGGTTAAGAATAAATTCAGTGGCAATAAGAATGGTTCATCTCTTGTCAAAGTCATCACAAGCAAAGGACTGTCATGGAAGATATCTATTATTTCACATGAAAAGCTCCCACTTTTTCAATAAAATCATTAAAACTTAAAATATTTCAGCAGAAAACTACCTGGGCAAAATCTATTTCCACTTCCAGAAAAAAATCCAGCTAAGAAGTGCCTGGCTTTGTACTCAGAGGGATGTCAATCTTCCCTCATTCCCAAACCAAAATGATTTGTCTCATTTTCCTTGTGCAGCCCATCTTGGGCATCCCAATCCTTGTGGTTTCTCCTCCTGCTGCTGCTTTAACCCTAAAAACCCCAAACCACCTCAGAGACCCAGGGCTTTTGCACCAGCACCTGCTAAAGCAGCAGCGTGCGATGTCTGTCACACACAGGACAACTTAAATCTATCAACTACCACTAAGAAAAAGGAAATTAAAATATATTTTCTCCATCACTGCTGCCTTCTGAAGGCTCTTACTTGCAGAATTTGTAGAGGATTTTCTCAAAGACGAGGACGGGGCCGGTGCTGCCAAGGATGGTGAGAGGTTGGCCCGCAAAGAGGGAATACACCACGCCGGTCATGGATGCACCCAGCAGCGACTCCATGGCGCTCTGTGCAGGGATGAGAGGAAATAACTCATTAGAGGGGGAAAAAAACCCCAAAACCCAAGGTGAAGTCACTGCAGCAAGGACTTCTGCATGAGTCTTGTCCCTCTACGTGCCACCCAACCGAGAGAGGTGCTCACTATGTGGCCGTCGGTTGCCTCCCCCAGCAGCCCCCCAAAGGTGATGACGGGGGACATGCAGGCACAGTAGAGGAAGAGGAAGGACGCCAGACACTGCAGGCTCAGACCGTCCCGAAAGTCGCTCCAGAACCACGGGGCTTTTCGCTTCACATCCAGGATCAAACCCCCAAAGAGCCTGGAAGAAGGGAAAAAAATACAGACTGTTCTGGAAGGCCACGTTGGGCAATCACAAGCATGGAGTAACGTTCATTGCTAAAAAGAAGCAGTTTCATAGAATCACAGAATGGTTTTGGTTGGAAAAGACCTTGAAGATCATCGAGTCCAACCACTGAACCAGTCCCAAGTCCACCACCATGGTCCTGAGCACAACATCTCCTTGGCTTTTAAACACCCCCAGGGATGGGGACTCCACCACCTCCATGGGCAGCCCCTTCCAGTGCTTGGCAACCCAAATTAACCCAAATTAACTCAATTGGGCTGAATTAATTTGCTTCTTGGGAAGAGAAGTCTTAGGGGGGGACCTTATCACCACGGACCAGTGCATAAAGGGTGGCACCAAGAGGATGGAGACTCCTTTAACAAGGAGTCACGGGGAAAAGACGAGGGGTGATGGACACAAGGTGCTGCTGGGGAGATTCCCCTTGAACTCCAGGAGAAAATGTTTTACCATGAGAGCAATCAGACATGGGAATAATCCCTCAATGAGACATGGGAATAACCCATCAATGAGACATGGGAATAATCCATCAATGAGACATGGGAATAACCCATCAATGAGACATGGGAATAATCTATGCATTAGATATCGGAATAATCTATCCAATATTGGAACAATCTCCATGGGAAGTGGTGAATTCCCCTACCTTGGTCAGTTTGAAGTCAGTTTGACAGGGAGCTGCCTCATCTCATTTAAACTGTGTTTTACCTCGAGAGGTTGGACTGGGTGATCCTTGTGGTCCCTTCCAACCTGGTATGCTAATGATTCTGTGATTCTAATTACCATAGATCATGGATCTGTGGGATGTACAGGGTGATTTGGGCTTTTAAACCTCTCCAGGGATGGGGACTCCACCACTGCCCTGGGCAGCCCCTTCCAATGCTTTGCAATCCAAATTAACCTGAATTAATTACCATAGAGCATGGATCTATGGGATGTACAGGGTCATATGGGCTTTTAAACACCTCCAGGGATGGCGACTCCACCACCTCCATGGGCAGCCTATGTCCTCCTCTCATTTTACACCCAGTAGAAACTGAGGGATACAAAGAAAAACACTCCAACAAAATGAAAAAGGACCCAACCTGTGAGCCCATCCCCTCTCATTGAGGATTCCCCTGCTTTCAGAAGCAGCAGAGCTCTTCCTGCAGGTATTTACTCATCTGCTTCAGCCCCAAATCAAGAAAACCCCGGTGTGATGCTGCTGTGCCTAAGCCCAACTGCCCAGATCTCCACCTTGGGTCAAGGGGACCAAGCTCGTAACGTGGAGCCCCTCCACTGAACCAACCACCTCCAAAAACTGCAAGAAGGGAAGATTTTGAAGGCAAACATTTAAAAAATACCCCAAATCATTAAAGCTCCCACCTTCCCGTCCGCTCCAGTTCGGGACCGCTGTGTTTCTCCGGCTTGCTGTGAGCAGCGCTGTCATCGAGAGCTCCCGGCATCTTCCTTTTTTCCTGTTAATGTGGAAAAAAGACCAAGATTCATAACCAACATCTTCCTTTGCTTCTGCTCTGGCTACGTGACTGTGCCAAACCGAGACCTGGTGAATTTGGGCCCCCCGAACAGCATCGTACCCTCATCTGCCATCCTGTCTGTATCCCCCACAGCACCCACCTGCGAAGGGACGTTTTTCGGGGGCTCGATTCGGATCGATGGGTCCCACTCTCCCGGTGGTAAAACTGTGACCTGATCCAGGAACTCGTCGATGCCGGCCACGAGGTCAGCCCGGTTCTTGGCCTTATAGGCAACGTCATGGAAAACCTGTGCATAGGAGACAACGTGGTGAGAGGAGAGGACAACCCTTCTCCAATGTCCTAACCAGTGCAGGAAGCTCCTGGCTAAACCCAGGATCGTTTCCCCACATTTCCTGATGGAAATGGCAGGAAATATTCCCCCAAAAGGGAAATATCTGTGCATTGTGGTGTTTGTAATCATCTCCATGAGGTTCCTATCCCCTATGGCACACCACAGCCTTCTGCTTAAAGAGGAGAGGGTTTGCTGGCCCTGGTGATGCCACCACTGAGGACAGGGTGCTGGGGACACCAGGGAGAGGGATGAGGTACAGGATTCACCCCGGGGGGGATATCAGCCAAAAAAGGACCTGGAGAGAGCTCTTATCGCACCTCATCCGTCATGATCGTAGCCATGGACCTGCCGATCTCGTGGTACTGATGGGCTTTTCCTTCTGGTCCAAGTAAAACAAACAGGAACCTGGGCAAGAAAGGCAAAATGAGAGAGAATCACAGAATTACAGAAGGGTTTGGCACCTTAAAGATCATCCAAACCCCCATGGAGGGACACCTCCACCAGCCCAGGCTGCTCCAAGCCCCGTCCAACCTGGCCTTGGGCACTGCCAGGGAGCGGACATCAAAAACTTCCATAAGAAACCAGTGCCAGGGCCTCATCACCCTCAGAGTGAAGAATTTCTTCCTAATATCCAGTCTAAGCCTGACCCTTCCAGTTTAAAGCTGAAGAACATGTCCTTGCTCAATGAGCACCCAGGAGAAACCCCAGGAGCTCCCAGCCCAGAGCACGGCTCAGAGGGGACACATAAGCTCACCAACTCCACAATTAATTTGAAATTCATCACAGATGATCACAAATTGAATTTTGGGGGCCGACTTGCATTAAAACTGGCCAGCAGGTTTCCAAGCAACAGCAAGGAAGAAACGAAGGTGAGGAGATGTGGGTGGAGGAAATGTGTTTGCTCCCACTGGCCCCGTTCCCTTGGACCACCAAACTCACACATGCGATTTGAGGTGGGTTTATTGTTTTATTGGTTTGTATTTTTTTTTTTTTAAATAAAACCTTTGTGCTTCCCATTCAGACCTTGTGGGGATGGGAACTTCTGTCATGCCAGACAGGAGGACGGCCGGGGTCAGGCGGACGAACGCCACGATGGGCTGGCGAAGGAAATCCAGCTCCCCCACCAGCACGTTGGACGCTTCCGCCCCGGTGGGGATCTTCTTCATGAAGTGCAGCTCCGCCTGGGCAAAACAAGCGATTTTTGGGCAATTACCTCAAAAGCAAAGCCCACGGTGCTCTGCAGCCACGTTTGCAAGAGCCAACCTGGCTCTGAAGGCGTAAGGAAGCAACGAGCGTCTCACCTTGCTTAAATCCATGGCGCTGCTCTCATGGTTCACCCCGTTTTTAGCTTCTGCGGTGGTGGGAGAAGGATTAGGGGTGAGGGTTTGGGCTGGTAGGAAAAAGAGAGATGCTCAGGAGGATGGACAAGGAGCAATTGGGATGCCTCTGCTTTGATAGGACAAGTCTAATGGGGATGAAGCCCTTCAGGAACCCTCTCCTGGTGCTAAATCCCTGCAGGAACCCTAATCTCGTGCTACAGCCCTTCAGGAACCCTTTCCTGGTGTTAAAGCCCTGCAGGAACCCTAATCTGGTGCCAGAACCCTACAGAAATCCTCTCCTGGTGCCAAAGCCCTGCAGGAACACTAATCTGGTACCAAATCCCACCCTCTCCTGGTGTGAAAACCTTCAAGAACCCTCTCCTGGTGCCAAAACCTGCAGGAACCCTCACCTGGCTTGTCGAGGAGGTGCAGCTCCGCCTGCTTCTTGCTCACATCGGCAAAGGAACGGACGATGGGGAGGAGGTTGTTCCTCTTCTTCTCGTTCTGGTGGTGATGCTTCTTCAAAAGGACCTCTCGAATTTTCGCCCGCATGCGTTCGTCAGACTCCATGGATTGCTCCTGCTGGCCCAGGATCAGGTCTGGAAATGGCAAAGGCCATCAGGATGAAGCTGTCGGAGCAGAAACCCACCCCAAGTCCCAGCGCGGTGCCCACGGGACCTGCAATCTCCTCGATGCTGTTGGCGCAGATGTCCAGCAGCACCGTCCCGTTGATGATGCAGCTCCTCAGCTCGAAGAGGCTGTGCAAGGACAGCGTGGCCACGTAGGGCTTGCTCCAGCGCTCGCCGCCATCTTCCACGTCCTCCTCAAACTTCAGCCACCTGTGGACACCGGGCAGCATCAGCTCTGTCCTGGCCTGAGCTCAACAGACCTGATTTT